TACTTATTAATAACCTCTAGAGTAAATTTCTAGTTTAGTTTTTTCTTTAGTCGCGTTAACTGCATATTTCTAGTAGAAACTATAACCTTATCTTCTTCTTTAAATAAGACTAGCAGCCTTTGCTTATTTGCGTATTTTTCCTAGTACTTATTTACTATAAGAATTCTTAATCTATAAGTAGTAATTATTACTAGTACTCTTTTAGCAAGTTTAGCTGCTCTAGATAATTCTCTATCTCTAAGTAGTCTTTTAAGCTAATCTAGCTTAATAGAGTCTAGTTCTTAGTTTACTTAGAAAGATATTATATTTATAACTGCATATTTGCTATCGTTATATGCAAACTCTATAAGAGATAACTATAATATCTAGTTATCTTACTTAAGCCTACAGTAGTAACGCAGGTAGTATTCTAGAGTCTAGTTCTATCTTTCTATCTATCTATCTATCTATAGATAGAAGAAAGAAGTTAGGACTCTTCTTAAGTTTATATAGTATTAGAATATATCCTAGTATTTCGCGTTTATAATAGAGCCTCTATCTAAAATTACTTACTTTAGAACGCTATATAGGCATATAACTTTACAAATCTATGCTTACGCTAAGTCTACTCTATCCTAGTTTTCTTAAGCAGAGATATAATAGGATATCTTAGTTAATCTGCACATAATAACTAATATAGCATTATAGACTATGCCTAATAGTTTACTTAGAGGGAGTTTAGTTATAAAATCTATTATAATATCTTTCTATAGTCTTATTAGAGGTAGCAGTAGTGCTAGTAATCTATATAGCTTATATTAGGCTAGCTTTGCTCTCTTATATACTTTGCAGGAGTAATAGTACTTCTCTGCATTCTTTCTAAGGCCTTTCTAGGTATAATAGCGCTATAATTTCTTAATTATCTACCTTATACTAAAATAGCCTACGAGAGGATTATTATAATATTAATATATTGCCTCTGCCTTTTTAGAGATTATATAAAGAATCTTAGGTGCCTTATATGCTACTTTAGGTCGTTATAGCCTATCTTAGCCTAACTTAGGTTCTAAGGTATCTAGTATATCTATACTAGACTCTAAAGATAGATCGTTGTCTACTTCTAGCTCTAATGCTATAAGTTAGCTTTAGTTTTCTTAATAGAGCTCGCGCAATATTGCAATAGCTTCTTATTATTCTTCTATTCTTATAACTACTTAAGTTAATATAGCTAAAATAAGAAAGAAATCTTTTTCTTCTTTCTATAGAGCTCTATAGAGAGGTTTTATAAAAGCGTAGTTATATTTCTAAGATAGCTTTTATACCTTATCTATATAGTCTAGGCGTTTTAAAAAGCTATCTGCAGAATTTATTTTGCTAAATTAATAAATAATTATAAAATTATATCTAGAGAGGATAAGATAAGCTCTTACTTATCTATAGTTTAGAGTTTTTATCTCTATAAACTATTTAAGATTTTTATAGTCTATAAGGACCTTAAACGTTATTTCTTCTAGATATTAATGCTAGTATTCTAAACTCTTAATAATTGCAAGCAGTTCTTAGTTATACATATTATACCTATACTTAGCTGCAATAAGTTTGCGTAAGTAGAAGTCTACTAGTCTCTATTAGAGCTTCTTACTATCTTCTAGTACTAACTAGCTTAGAATGCCTAATATCGCGCCTTCTAAGGCGTTAACTTTAACTCTAGTCTCTCTTCCTTATTTAAAATATATAAGAATAGGCATATTAAGAAATACGTCCTTTAATGCTTAGAAAGCTTAAATATCTTTAGAGCCTATTTTAAGAGTCTAACTCTCTTCTCTTTGCATTTATAGGCTGCCTCTAGCTACTTCTAGAGTCTTTTAGATTAGAATAGTTAATAGCAGCGCTAAATAGCTAAAACTAGCAATAAATTATCTATAGTAGTTTATAAACTTAATAAAGACGCAGATCTTGCGTATAGTATATAGCAAAAGCTAGTTCTAAATTGTTTTAACTCTATCTTAGTTAATACTAACTTCTTTTAGACTTATAATATACCTTAGGTACTCTATGCGCTGTATATACTATTTATACTTACTTAGCTTTATATATAGCTTTGTATTACGCAGCCTCTAGAGAACTTTCTTTATATATACTATATGCTTTTCTTCTATATCTAAAAAGACTAGAATATTATCTAAATAGATAATATAGAAAATATCTACTAAGCCTGCTAACGCTTTATTAATATAAGCTTAGAACTAAGCTAGAGCATTTATAAGACTAAATAGCATTACTATATACTTAAAATAGCTATACTTTATATAGAAGGCAGTCTTCTACTTATTGCCTTTAGCAATTCTAATTCTATAGTAGGCCTTTTTTATATTAAGCTTTATATACTACTTTGCTTAGAAGAGACGTTCTAAAGACTCTATAATTAAGAGTAGAGAACTCTAATTCTTAATGCTAATCTTATTAAGACCTCTATAGTCTATATAGAGTTATATTATTCTATCTTTCTTCTTAATAAATAGTATAAGTATGCCTACTAGTAACTTTAACTAACGTATCTAGCTATGCTATAAATACTTAGTTATATATACTCTTAATATATCTAACTTTATAGAAGAGAGGTTATATAATAGATAATAGAGAGAATCTTCTCTAAGCACTAGATTAATTATTAGATTATACTTACTATATTCTGCTAGAACCTTAGAGTTCTCTTTAGAGCTAATGTCTGCAAATGCAGCGTAATCTAAGAGAATCTAATTTATATAGAATTATTCTAGCATAGCAGAGCCTGCGTAGCTTACTAGAAAGGTATATACGTCTGTATATAGGCTTTGCATGCTCTTTTTAAACTCTTCTATATTCTTAATATCTACCTTATAGTACAGCATTGCATTCTTTGCCTTATACTCTCTATAAAGAAGTCTTTGCATTAAGATATTAATCTTTAAGTGTATATTTATCTATCTAAGAGAGGCTAAGATAAATTAGATATCTCTTTAGATTAGTAATAATAAAAGAGATCTTATAATTCTTCTTCTTGCTGTAAGAGTTAATAATAACTATATCTATAACTATAGTGCTATAGATAGTAAGGTTCTCTTTGCTAACTCTCTCTACTAAGAAGCTAGTTAATAGAGTTACCTCTAAACTCTGCTCTTTAGCAAGTTTTGTTAATATTAGGTTTAACTAAGAATCTAGGTCTAGAAAAATATCTATAGCGCCTAAGGCACTAACAACTCTCTTTACTATTATTAGCTAAGAGAGTGCTAATAATATAGCCTCTCTTAGAGTACTAAAGTTCTTTTAGTCTAGGTTAGACCTAATATAGGCAGCAAGATAGACCGTCTAAGACCTACGCCTATTATCTTTTTCTATATTCTATTAGAAGAGTCTAGCTTAAAGCTTGCAAGAGTTAGAGTAATCTAGACTAATATAGCTAACCTTATTATAGTTATAATAGGTTAGCTTAGAATAGTTAGATTTAGCTCTGCTTACTAGTGCCCGCTTTAGCTTATTATAGCTTATTCTAGTATGCTTAGCCTTTTTTAGAGAGTTTTAAGCTCTCTCTATATTTAGAGAGACCTTTCTTAGTTAACTATAAGAAGTTTATACTAGAATATCTACTGCAGTTCTATATCTAATTACCCTTTGCTAGACTATATTTGCCTATTTCTCTAGAGTAGCTAGAGTACTTTTCTACTTAACTAGAATCTTTATAAGATTATCTTATATATCTTATTATAGTGCTAAATAGTACTATATAACTTTTATTACTTCTATATTTACAAGGCCTAGTTCTTTCTAGAGAGGTCTAAGATAGTCTAGCAGATCTGTTAGAGATTAGTTTAGTTTCTATCTTATAAAGCAGATGCAATTATATGCTTTCTAGAAGCATTCTACTAGAGTTCTAAGTAAGTTAAGCATAACTGCTTTTAGTTCTATCTAAGTAGGCATCTATTCTAGAGATATAGCAGAAAAGAAGCAGTAACTATTCTAAAGTATTCTTATATTCTCTAAGACGTAGCGTAGCTTAAACGTAACTATTAAAGCCTCTATTAGAAAAGCTTAAGGCAAAGTTATAAAGTAAGACTTATAGTCTCTCTTTTAGCAGTTATATTATATCTAGTTCTTCTTCTTAAAGCGCGTTAGAAGTTTAGGCTTTAGTAAGAAGCTTAATATATTACTTTAAGATAGATCTAGTAGCGTCGTTTCTAGTTACTTAGAGTTAAAAGCCTCTTAGTTGCCTAAATTATAATAGGCCTTTATAGCTCTTAAGAAAACTAGTTTCTTCTCTAGAAGAGCTTAAGCCTTTAGTTATTAGAGTTCCTTAATCTTCTTACGCATTTTATTCTTCTCTTAATTAAGTTAAAGAAAAATAGGCTCTTATAGCTTATTATTAGCTAGTTAGGTAGTGTTAAGCTTAGTTACCTCTATGCCTAACTTCTCTATAGAAGTAATAGATATAAGGTCTTTAATATTATTATTAAGAACCTCTTAAGCCTAAGCTATAGCGCTTTCTTCTTGCAGATTATAAAAGAGTAGACTCTAATTCTATGCAGCTGCTACTCTTATAGTAGGAGCTTATAAGAGGTTAAATAATATATTTACTCTTTCTTTATGCTACGTAGAGTAAGCGATTTAAATATTAGGATAGTACTAGAGAGTTATAGCTAGGAGTAAGTAATAATAAGAATAACTAGTAGGATTGTCGTAAAGGATAGACAAATCGCTACTAATAAGAAGCAATTCTCTCTCTACTCTATATACTAGCTCTCTAGCAAATATACTAGGCCTGCTTAGATTGCCGAAGGCGTCCTTAGTGCTAGAGTGCTAACAATATATAGACTAACTATATATATAAAAAACTTAAGATATCTAATTAAGATAATTAAATTAAATTAAGATAACTTTATATTTTTTTCTTCTTATTTGCTCTTAATTTAATCTCTTAAATCTCTAATTTAATCTTAGTTTAATTAATAAAAATATTAAGAATTAAATTAAATTAAATTAAGACCTTATTTATTAATAAGTGTAGTCAGGATCGCAACGATTTGCAGGCTCAGAATGAGGAAGGCCCCGGTCCTAATGGCCCAGGGATATCCAACGCTCTTAATCATGCGAGTCATCATTATGGGGAAGATGACACCGCCAACAGAAGATCCAGTCACCATGATGCCCATAGCTAAGCCACGCTTCTTAGCAAAGTAGGTAGAGATACACGCAAGGGCTGTAGTACAGTCAGGTTGGATCCAACATCAGAAGAAGAGCTGGACCTACCAGGGGAATAGAGGCATGCAACGCCGACAGCACTACACAAACCCTGTGATAGCAGGAACTGGTAGTATGTCTTGGCCAAGGAAGCCATCATCAGTCCAAAGACATGGAGAAATGTCCCACCAATCATGAGTGGTCGTGGCCCATACTTGTCGTAGATATAGCCGACGACTGGACCTAAGCCGAAGAGCAAGGATAGTTGAAGTGAAGGAATCCAGGCAATGGTGCTGCTGGAGTAGTCCTTCAACGGGCCGACCTCGTAGTATTGCTGAAAGCTACCCACGCCTGTGAGTCTTAGCGAGGAATGCGTGGTGGATCAAAGTGCGACGTACAGTTGATCCAACCTAGACTGGTGAAGGAGCAACACCACGCCCCCAACAATACTAGCCATGCAGCAGTACCACCATCAGGCGGACCCGGTTCTTCGAACTTGATGGCTTCTTCTGGGTTATCAGCAACAATTTGCTTTGCAGAAGGGCCATGCATCGCTGTGTCACTCTCGGAATTGTCTGGGGTGCTAGGCATTATCAAACAAGTGGTTGCTTTCGACAAGAAAAAAGAGTCGTTTGATGGGGAGGCTCAAGGAAGAGACCTGGAAGAATAAAGGTAAAGCAGCTCTCAGTAACACCGGGTGACAGATATTCTTTTATCATCGCTTCGTCGCGCAGGTATTTTGTCAGCATTCGCAGAGTGCAAGTATCTTTGTGCAAATAGCACGTGACTGATTACGAAAGATTTTGCATTATCGCAGATTCAAAAAGGTGCGCGAGAGGCGTTTACGATGGACTAATGACTTCGATGCCGCATTGCGCTCAATCTCAAAATCGGAGTGGATGCAAATATTGGCGTCGATATCGTGTCAGTGCCATCGCAGTCGCCCGAAGTCAACGTGGACGCGAAGACTAGATCGCCTCACGTGGTAGTACATCGTATGTGCGGAGGTTCCACAATCATGTGGACTTCGTGTAAATCAAACAATAGCTTATGCAGTGCCCGCTACAGCTTGAAGTTCTTAGAAGCACTCAACTTGGCCATGTACAAGACAGGATCGCGAAATTTGCTTGAGCATTCGAGTGCAGGTTGCGTCTACATTTTCCAACGACATACAGGGAAAACCACCATGTTCACCACACACCGCATTTCTATGATGGGGCGCTGCGATCCGCAAGTCTGACAGCTTACCTAGCAGAGGGCGAACAACCGCCCGATCCGTGCCTTGGCGCATTTGTGTATGTGTGCGGCGCCCATCTGTGCGAATCGGTGCAACGCGCTCGAGCACCTTCAACGTATAGATCTGATCCACCAATGGAAATCCTCGGGCTATACGGATCTTACCGTTCACATCCCTAATCGGCACCGCCTGTCTATGGAGAACAGGGCGCGTGCTGCTCTATGGGAAACAATAAAGACGAGGGAATAGCACCATGTTATCGTGTAAGCCTCGTGCTTCCAATAGCTCTTGCACTTTCGTGTGGCACCAAAACAATCGCCATTCAGATGTCTATTTTGTCTGTTCGACTACACATGCGCTGAGCTGACTACAGACCCAACAAAGACCCCTGAGGGTGAGTGCAGGGCCAGCCTAAGAAATGTTCCCATCTGACATAAGGCGGGGTGCACCATACCAGACGTAGTCAGCCTGCGAGACACGGTCAGCAAGCCTTTTTACGTGCGATAAGCCATGCGGGATGGGATGCACGAGCCCCCCACGAACCGATGGAAACCATTCCATCATATATAAGAGCTGCGGGACGAGCCGCGCAACGAGCCGCACAACAATCTCATCGACCAAACAACTGCTAAGAGAACAATTCTGGAGTTACAGGGAGAGAAAATAGTGGAAATGTCCCATCGACAGTCGTGCGATCGCTGCCGCCAGCAAAAGGTGAGATGTCTTCGAGGTGAAGGTCCGAGGGAGAAGAACATCGACCTTCCTCTCTCCCCAAAACAGGCTCAACTTCCTCGATGTGAACGGTGTGCGAAAGCGTCCGTGGAATGTGTCTACAGCTGTACGTATGCTCCAGCTCACGAATAGTAGAACATGAGTCGCAATTAACACAAGTATTGCAGTTACTCGAGTCGCGCTCAAATCGCGTTCTGAACGTCGTTCCGTTGCAAAATCGATGCAGAAAGATACAGATGCCGGGCTTGTGGACTTCAGCGGTTCAACAACGTGGTTCGAGCATGATGTATCTGGGGCGTTATATGCGGACGGCACGCTGCAGACGGGTGGACCGACCCTAGCACCCCTGAGTGCTGACTATGGAGGCCTGACTAGTCCATTTGCTGGGGGTGGCGCTGCCATGAGCTTCAGCGACTGGAACCCAAACATTCAGCCAACATCCTTGGCAAACCCCACTTCTCTACCTCCCGCTCCATGCACGGTGGACAGCTGCGAAGATAGCGAAGACATTGATGTCGACAAACACTTCAATGATGCTCTATCGCTGCAGCTAACGTCCTTGAGCCAACAGGCCGCGCAGGCCGTGCGCTATCTCACTCGGTCTAACCAGGGTCGTACGCCCCTGACTGTATCATCGCCCCAGGTGAATGTGGCATTAGAGGCGACAAACACCCTGACGAGCATCATAAGCAATGTCACCGCATCACATCGGAATGATGACCGCCTTGACCCAACTACGACAAATATTGGTCTCGCTTTCTCCGCGCTTGCCTCGCACCAGCAAATTTTGGCCCTCTTTCGAGCTATTTGCGACGACATACATTCGTGTTTGCAATCAAAGACAGTTTACAAGCACCATAATCGACAACGAAGTAACTCCGGGCAACCATGTGACGTTGGACCGTCATCGGTAGCCCAGTTTGTCATGGTGCTTCAGTTGTTGATGCACCTGATCAATCGTATGGATCGGAGTCTTTTCCAAAACGGTCTGTCGATACGGCATGACAGCATGTCCAGCGGTTACATCACACCCGTAACGCCTGGTATAATGTCTCCATTCACGATTGACCCTCTTCAGACCGAGCTATCATCAGGAGCTTCGTCGCCACAATTTGGCCTTCTCGTCCTTGTCCAGGACGTAGTGGGCACCGTAGATAATGAGCACGAGAAGCTGAGACAGTCTATTCAGCAGTTGCAGGCAGAGATGGAGCTCCCGGGGCTCCATTAGTCCAAGTTCGGTGGAAGATCACGACGAGGATATACTTTTCTTTTAATGACATTCACGGTGCTCATGTTATTTCAATTCAACATTTAGAAATGAAGACATGGGTAGAGTATTACATCTAGACTACCGGTTGGATACACTATTTTCAGAGGTACTATATGCCGTTAAGATCAAAGATGTGCATACTATTAATAGTACATAACCGATTGATGTCTAAATATGGCATCCTAATGCGAGAAAGTGCGTGTTGAAGTCTGGAATTCATCGATCTTGTGGCTTTTGAGCTTCAGGCTTCGAAAAGTGATCGTCTCCACTGCCCCCTTCTAAGAGTGTTTTCTGAGTCGCGAGGCGCGGGATTTACGAAATTCATCTTCAGATGGTTACTGTTTGGTGACAGATAAGCATTCCGAGCCTGTGAAACGTTCAGCGAAACATGAGATCCGATGGATGAGCTCTTGGGGAAGGGTATCCATAATGCGTAGGCCTCGAGATGAAGGCAGATACGCTGTGATACGAGACGGATGTCTTTTTGTCGACTAAGACGATACCAGGGATCTGAGTACGTCGCAATTATAAGCAATTGAAAGACTGACAAGCTGCTACAGGCTTGTTGTACGAAGAGGTTGGATATCCCATAGGGCCTATTACATTTGTGCATACTCGATGAATAATATCTTACTGCATCACACTTCTCCATCTAACGATACAAGGCGCATAGGATCCATTTCTATGGAAGCATGTTAATAGCAAGAGTTGGACGCGTTGATGGGTCGAAAAAATATTGTACGATCCACGAAATAGATTGAAGTAGCCAAAATGTGCTAAAAGCCTAAGCTATGTTGAATAGCTTAGCCTCTAGACTTCCTCGATACCTGAAATCGTAAAATCCTCGACTTGTCTCTCTAGATCGTGCCAAAGCAAACTCCCACAAACTTAAAAGACCTCGACAGACAATCCGTTGAATCTGACATCAATGCAAGTATTCTGAGTAGTTGCACAGGTATTTTCAGGGTCTATTGCACGTTGTTTAGACACACTCAGACTTACTGGTCTCGAAGATGAGATCTCCCTAGCAGTTGGCCAGCACACTTGCGGTACCGAAGAGCTTCACAAGTGAGATGCATGGTTTAATGTTGCGCGACAACATTGTTACAGGTTCAGGGAAAAATCTCAGTTGAGTACAGATATGCAAATACAGGCCAAAATTTACTTTATCCTTTTACTACCATGTCAAATTATTGAATACCTGCAGCCATTATATCTCCTGCATGCAGCCATTCCGTCTTTTCCTCTCTCGTTTCGTTTTGGTACCAACAATCTATGCAGAACGATACGAATAGTCGGGCTTGAGCTCTTCATAGGTGCTTACCGTAGCACAAGTGGCCAGTGTGGCTACCTGGATTGATCTGGTGATCTTATTCGGCTGAACACACACATTTACCCCGCAGTTTTACTCACGGCTGGTACAGGAGGGTTACAAGGTGCGAACAGAGAGAGCGAACAATCCGTGAAAATTTCGCTATTGGTGATTCTGAATACTACAATTAAGGTATTTCAGCTGCTGGCATAGGACAAACATCAACTGCCGCCTACGAAGCTGCGCTGCACCAAACCGATATTCCATCAGAGCTCAATGAGTATAAAGAATAACACGACATGAATCAATTGTATAGCTACTACAACGACAATCCTTACAACTCATCGCAGCTCAGGCCAACTCAATCTTCCATTATCAATCGGGCCTGCACCTCTTGTACATCGCTCCTCCTGAAGATGCTTAGAGCAGCCACTGTAAATACTAGAACAACGAAAGCATAAAAGAACATACAAATGACTAAGAAGTAGAACGGCCCCTTGCGAATCTGCGTCATCGTCATGTCAGCACGCCAACGTTGCTCGAGATTCGGGATGCGAGTATAAACACCAGCCGCGAGTGACAATGAAGTTTGGCTAAAGGCAAGCTCCATCAAGTCCATAACAGTGAGATTGTTCGTCAAGGTGGATAATGCTGCTCTCTCGAACAGTGAATAGCTTCCAAAGCCGGCCTGGAGTGGTGCTTTAATGATGGCTGCGATGCTAGGATCGGCTGGGGTCGCGTTGAAGGCGTGGATGTTGCCATCTACGAGCGAGTATGTAACATCGTAGACTGTGGAATTGCATGATATAGAAAATGCCACACGGCCGTCTCCGATTCGAACAATGGTACCTTGGGCAACTTGTGGGTCTTTAGATCGAATAAGGCCACCAATATTAATGCTGTCTACCACGGCTGTGACGTTATAATGGAAGGGATTCAGTTGTGAAGCAATCGAAATTTGCCGTGGAACTCCGTTGTCAAGTTCATAGAACGACGTGTTCCAACCTTTCAGCCGTTCTAAGCCATTTGTAGGAATCTCGCTCATGTCACCGCTGAACATGTCTGAGCAGTGGTATGCAATTGTCAAATCACTGCTATTGATGGTGTCCATCGCACAGTCCCTAGTGGTTGGGAAGCACTTTGTGATAATAGAGGTTGTGTTGGCGACGTAATCAAGACCGTATCTGTCGAGATCACTGTCTACTAAACTGAAACTGTCGCGCTTTTGAATTTCCCTGTTTCCCTGCGCCAGCATCGGATTAAAGAAAAAGACGTGTTGATCATGGGTTGCTTGATCGATATGCGTGATAAGCTGCGTATGATTGAATGTTCCCAGATAAGTGGCGTTCCATAGAGCGTCGAAATCCTCTTTGTTGTAGTCGCTTGTCTGATTGAGTAGACCTGTGGCTAGCAATCGGTACGTTGCCGTAGGTTCCCAAAGAGTCCAAGGACTAGTTGTGTTGTCGATTGAGCAAGGTGGATAATTTGGAGCAGTACTATTGTAATATATGTTGGGGCTAGTTTCGGCAAGTCCACAAATTGCGCCGTTGATGCTGAAACCGCCATTGTAGTCGTAATGGTCTTGAGCATCGATGTACCTGAAGTTGTCGCCATAAACCCGCTGCAGAGTGGTGTCCATAGTTCCTTGAAGTAGCTTATCTGGTAACTGTCAGCTTCATTTGCGGCTTCGCGATAGGACATGTTTACCGCCAATGAGGACAAGAACACTAAGATAAGAATTAGCGGACCACGAGAGAGCTATTTGAAACAATTACTTACGTAAGAAGGAATGCGATCAAAGCTCCAATACCGGCTATTCTCGTTCCATCCGCTCTTTCCGTCCTTCGAGCACCGCAAAATCTGCGAGAAATCCAATCCAACAAAGCTTTTTGGTCACCTCGTAACAATCTTGCCTCATCTCGACCTATGTCCCGATGTTGATTCGCCAACTCGAGGGCCACAAGGTACGAGCAAAGTAGAAGAAAGGGCACCACGGCGAACTGGGCAACATTGGGGGCGAAGGAACTGGTCATTGAGACCTTACCCATAAACACAGCAGTGTAGAACACAGAGTTTTCCAGCGCCTCAATGGGAAGATTCGCATTTTCTTCCAGCGGATGTTGTATTGTCCAGGTTGGTGTTGTGACAAAAAGACATAACAACGTCGCTAGGATGACCAAAGGACAGAAGACGATTGCAAAAGCGCATGCAATCTGAAAGAAGGCCAATACGGAATCCGATCTCGCCGTTTGCTTCTTAGGCTCCTCCGCACTGGAAGCCATGCTGATGGAAAATGTCATCACTGTTAGCGGCAACGATCACCGTTACTAATGGTATAGTTTAGCAAATGGGATTAGATTTTGATTTGGTAGAGACTGACCATATTTCTGAGCCTTTTTGTCTAGGTAGATAGTCGTAGAAAAAGAATTTGAAAAGATTAGTGCTCCGAGAGACTAAATAGAATAGAAGGCATAGCTTATCGCCACCTCCTAAAAGTTGCGAGGCTGGAGTTTATGGAAAAGCACGGCATAGATTCAAGATGGTTACTATAACAGCCCTTGGTATCATGGTTGCTGTGTGGGAATCACGAACTTACGATTTGTCAAGACTTCATGGTGCGGGTACACAAAACAAGGTCGGCTGAGGTTCATTTGATTCAGCGAAGACGCTAGAGAGTACGATAGTAGTCCGACTAATTGAAGCGCTTCGACAAGGATACAGGTCCTGCGAAGGAGTGCGCGCACAAGCTGAAGTCTTCGTACTTCGACCCTCCTGTACATTGCATGGTAGCAATCGGAACCCGGACACCGGTGACCAAGTCTATGACTGCACCAATGATGGGCCTAGCTGAGCTTGTCCTGAGCCTCTTTCAGGGTAGGTGGGTACTATTCTTGTGTGATCTTGCAATTGTGGCTGCAGCATGCGGGGGCGATGATTGATGATGTGGCTTGACCGGTAAAAGGCGCGCGTCGAATGGACAGGGGAAAGGGAAGGTGGCACCAGGCTTGATACTTGAGGAAAGCTATTACCTGAAAGACCCGATCCAGTTGATGGCGGTGCGCTGGCTGCTGTGGTCTGGTCGGAAATGAAGGCATGTAGCAAGTCGCCCCTAGACACGTTAGTCGCACCCAATCAAGCCTTGTTGACGAATGCGACGAACTTGCAATGGGCTGCATACATGCAGGGAAATGGTAGGCAAAGTCTGCAAGTTGGTAAATGACTGGCAGCAAACACTATGCACGTTGCTGGGACTTGCGCCATGCTGCTTGTGAATTCGGCAGCACTGTGTATGCCAAGGTTGAGCTGTACGGCAGTAACGTGACGAGTCGTTGACGCTTCAGTCCTTCCTAGTGAGCACAAATCTTGAGAGATGAAAAGCATATTTGTCAAATAAAATCTATCCATAGAAAGCTCGTTCTAGAGCTTTTCTTTCACGCTAGCAAACTTGAGCTCCTCAAGTGTCTCGTTCCAGAGCCTCTCGCCCATTTGTTGACCCTGATCCGTGTACATGGTCTTTGGCCACCTATGATTGGTCAGTGTGAGTGCAGTGGACTGAATTTGGGAATGAAGTCAGACTCACGCTCTGATGATCCAATCAGTCCATGACCCATGGCTCTCCTCACCCAACACGAGAGACGAGTGCAAGTATATGCGAGACGCATCTGCAGGCTGACGACCTATGAGTTCCACAAAGGCGCATAGTACGATGCTCATGACTTTTGAATCAACACTGCGGAAGAATGCTGTCCCTTTTGTAGCGCCAGGATCGGTGCAGTTGACGATGACTTCTTTGGGGTTGATTGTTTGAGCCAACTTCGCCACAAACATCATGACTAGCAATTTTGACAGGCCATATTGACCAAAGCCATCGAACTTTTCGGGCCGATCCAAGGACTCCAGGATGCTTCCCTCGCCCGGGTGTTCCAAGCCGAGGCCAAGGCTAGCCCCGGAATTGACGATGGTCAGACGGCCCGGCTCAGACGATGAGGTCGCGGGTCTCAGCTTGGGCAAGAGAAGGAAGGAGAGCAGCGCGGTAGCAAGATAGTTGACCTGAATCGTGACTTCATGGCAAAGGCCCTCCTCGACGCGCTCGAACCTGAGCCTTCCCAGGCCCGCATTGAGCACGGCGACGTGGATTCGCTCAAGCTCGCGCTCTGCCCGCGCAGCAAAGGCTTGCACCGAGCGGAAGGACTCCATATCAAGCTCCCACACGTCAATCCGGGCGTCTGGGAACTCCTGACGGAGTCTGGCTGCGGCCTCCTCGCCCTTATTCACCGAGCGTACGCCCATGACGACCAAGCTTGGCCGTAATCTCAAGAAGTTGCGGACGCTCTCGAAACCCAGACCAACGTTGGCCCCCGTCACCAATACAGTCTTCCCGGAGAGCTCAGTGCGAGTGGAAATCTCCGGCACGCGAGAAGATATTTGCTTCCAGAAGTTATGGGCGAAGGTGGCTTCGTATGAGGCTTGCTGTTTCAGTTCGGCAGACATGATGGGCGTCTAGTTGGTAACAAGCCGGAAACGCCTTTGAGTGAGCCGTGTCAACAGCGTAAGCTATATGGAATGAAGTTCCTGGGCTTTATGGAGACTAAGAGGGGATTTTGCCAAAGCAGAAGTACGCTCTTGTGAGAGAGTCCATCGTGCCCACGTTGATGTTGACCAAGTATGGGTAGGGCGTGGAAAACGTCTCTGAACCTGAAGGGGTTGGTAAGCGGGACGATACGAGTCCGCGATTTGGTAGACCAAGCAAATACATGCCGTGTATCACAGACTGCAAACATGAAATTGGTGTGTAGATTGTCGGACGTATTGCGGGTTGGACGTTCCAAAGTTGCGCCGACATCCGCCGGAGGAACAGACTCTCCGGGAGCCGCCTGCAGGAGACCACGATTCTTGGAACTTCTGCCTGGTGTATGCGGGAGACTTCCAAGTCGTCGAAACGAAGAATGGGACTAAAGGCCTAAATGGAATCAAATTTGTATTGCGCTACCCTAATGTCAAGAAACCTGAGGGCGCGATCGTCAGAGCCACACCTGGCCGTGTCGCCCAAACCACGTCAGGATGTGCGATGTACAACCAGGCTGGATTCTCTTGCAGTCTCTTTAGGCATTGCGCGTATGCTTCTTCTCTCTCTCCGTCTTCAACTTTCTGTCTCGCAGCTTGGATCAACTTCTGGACTTTATCGTCGTGGTAACCCAGCCACCAGGTATTACGCGACGCACTCGAAATTTTGTCATCAAGGACGCGGAAAGTACTGTTGGGCGTTGAATCGAACAATGCCAGATCTCCAATATTTTTACGGAACCCAATCGACCGAGCGTACTCTGGACGATTCGTTTCCACAGACGTGTGCACTTTGAAGCCTACAGCCTCCAACGACGATGCGACGAATTTTGCAATTTTTTCAGCGTGCTCAGGCATGTATTGTGGTGTCCGAAGTTCTATCGGTTCGGCGGTGTCCAGGGGTCTTAAGAAGGTCTTTTGCAGCAGCTGCATTGTATGGAATCGGGCTCAGCTGTGCTGTTTCCGATCCGAGGTGATATGGGCTGACGATCGTTGCAGATGGCTTTGCAAGGCCTTGGAACACATCTCTTACGAGACCAACGTTATCCACTGCCAGATTCGCAGCCAAGCGAGCTTCGGGCGAGCTGAATATACCCTTGGTGGTATTGAGATAGAACATAGCCGATAAAGTGCTGGTAACTCTGCCCCACGAGAGCGTAGGATCGAAATTGACAACTGTCAGATCATCGGCTCGCTCCAGATTCAGCGCTACATCCACTACGCCCGCACGTAAAGCCTCGAGCCTTCTCTCTCCATCCCTATTCTGAATAGCGATGATTACTTCCGGGGGTCCAACTTCACTTTTGTCGACTCGATGTAAGGTAGCCTTGCCAACATTGTTCTGACGTTCGAACTCCACGACTCGGTACTTGCCCGTACCCAAAATTGGCTTCCCATCTTTGTCCATACGGCATGGGTAGAACTCGCAAAGAATGTCCTGAATATCGGCAAAGGGTTCTGGGTTCTCGATCCTAACCGTCTTATCGTCCGGCGAAGAGATGATCGCGTTTTTGAGATAACGGGCATAGCTCCAAGGCATATCGAAGTAGTCCCGCGAATTCAGGAAGCCATTGATGAAGGCCTCGATGTCACTGGCCGTGCAAGCCTTGCCATCATGAAAGAACGCATTGTCGCGAATATGGAAATGCCACACTCTTCCATTATCTGAGTGTTCCCAGCGGTGGAACAGGCCTGGCTTGGCCAGCCCGCCTGGCTGCCATCTAAGCAACGGTTCAAAGGCAAGACTCTTCAAAGCAACTACGCTATTGTCGTCAGTTACTTGTGTCGGCAGCCGGAAGTCGACGTTTTCCAGTGCAATTCTGAGCGTGCGCGCAGTCATTCTCTGGGAGAAGTTTGTAGAAGCTGAGATTTGCGTCAATGCATGTTACATGCAGAGAATATACCTCTGCTCACATAATTGCCTTGATGCGCACTGTTGGATGATATCCGAGAGGTCGAGATAGTCAATTCTTGCCCAGGTCCCTTTTCGCTCACTGCAGCTTTACCATGCTTGTTGACGCCTCGGATATCGCATCGGCTCGCCAGGGTACATATTCGACATCCAGATGTTCAAGCACGCGATTACCACAAGGCTCGAGGAACTGGCGGCCTGAGCGACAGGTGGGTCAATTGTTCGGCAAAGCTACCAGAAGAGGTTCCGACACCGCGAAATATAACAAAGTACGAGTCAGACAAACGAAGACCAAGTCGGACCATGAGTCTGTCGACTCTGCCGTCTTATCATATACACTTTTGACGGAAGCTTGATGCCGAACCAAGCATAGATAAGCAGAAAGATGGGAGATGGGGGTCTGGAAACCCGGTTAAATCCGAATATGCGTTTTGAAATGTTGACGATATTGCAAGGCTGACCGATTCCGATTCGAAAGTCTACGATTGCTTGCAGAGAGGATATGTAAGCCAATGTTTGCCCCTGCAAAGAAATCAAGGTAATATCTGTGCAAGATGTGAGGCAAGCCAATGCTCCGACCAAGTGAAACATAGTTTAAGCGTCGAGGAACAATGTTCCGAGATACTGTTATCGTCAGAGCGGAGTGTTATCACGCCATAACTTACTCTGTATGGGTGGGATTTCGGTCTTCCGAGATATCTGTAGGCTGGTCTTTGCTGCATGAGAATCTCTATTACCTGCAGCAAGGTTATCTGCATCGCTAGGGTTTTCCCTTCCTGTCGACGGCAGTGTTTCTTTTTGTATTTCGAACGTTCGCGATGGCAAAAGTACCAGGATCAGATATTATTGTATCCACAGCACCTCATACAAACAATGATGAAGGGTCTGCAAAGGACGGCCACGCAGACACGGCTGAGAGCAGTTCTGCCATTTTCGGCCATGAGAAGCAGAACGCATTTTGGCGGCGATGTGTTGGTGTAATCTGGGACTCGCTGGAGGGAGAGCCTGAGTATCGGCACTACGTCCAAAAGCTGGATCGCATATTCTTGTAAGTGAAAGTGCGAACTTGCAACCCGTTTCGGCATCTAACGATACGACGTCAGTCCAACTGTACTGCTTGGATACTTCATCAAGTATCTTGACCAAACGAACTACAGTACGTTCTCACTTGCGGTTCTCCCACGACCCCTTTTCTAATAATTGACACTTGGAAAGGCAATGCATTCGTCAGTGGCATGAAAGAAGACCTCAATCTCTATGGCAATGAACGAAACTGGCTTGGAACATGGTTCAGCTTAGGAGTCATGGTCGGTAGTGTACCAGCTCAAATGTCGCAGCTTCGCTTTGTTCGACCATCTATCTTGATACCGTCTTGCGAGATTATTTGGTCGATGCTGGTCCTGAGTATGGGATTTGCGAAGAATATCAAAACGGTGAGTGAACTCTAACTTGAGCAAATGTCGCAGCTAAGCAACGATAGATGTACGCGCTCCGTTTCTTCATAGGACTCTTCGAAGCCTGTGCATTTCCCGGTTATATCGCTATGCTAGGCAGCTGGTACGGTCCTAAGGAACTCACGAAGCGCCTCGCAATTCTTCTTCAAGTTGAGTCCATCGCCAGCATGTTCAGCGGATACTTGCAAGCAGGACTATACACGAGTATGAACGGGCGGCATGGAATTGCCGGCTGGAGGTGGCTATTCATAATGGACGCCATCATATCGATTCCCATCGCAATCTGGGGCTTTTTCGGGTTGCCAGACCAGCCTCATAACACTCGCGCGTTTTACTTCTCAGCAGACGTACGCCAAACCCCGTCCAAATCAACTCCAACGCTGACTATGAATACAGCATATAAAGTATGGCATCGAAAGAATCGAGAAGTTTGGACGCAGAGAACAGACTAAGCTTTCGCGGAAAGATCTCAAACGAGTTTACTTCGGCTGGGAGATCTGGGTCTTTGTCGTCCCCTACACGTATGTTGACCATCCACGACTCTTCACTTCCAATTCGCTGATACCATTACTATAGCATGGTAGCAGCATGCCACACGGCAACAAGTTACTTCAGTCTCTGGCTCAAAGCAGCAGGTTACAGTGTCGTCAAGACCAACTACCTTCCGACAGGTGGCAGCGCTTTGAACATCGTCTTCTCGTTCATTTGCGGCGTCATTGCAGATGCCACGGGACAAAATTACTGGATGATCGTTGCCATTCAGTTGCTGATGATATTGTGTAATATTATCTTGTCTGTATGGGACGTACCCAAAAGCGCACTCATGTTCTCGTATTACGTGTCGTACGCTGGATCGGCAGCGACACCGATTCTAGTTGTGAGTCTTCCGTGGAAACCGTAGAGGGAAAAGGGCTAACGCTTCGGATAGAGTTGGGCGACTCAACTTACCGCTGGCGACGCGAGTCTGAGACAGCTCGTTGGTGGCTACAGCAAACGTGGTATCATATGCTTGGGTCCTGTGGGTACCATGTAAGTCCGAGGTCGAAACGATGAGCTCATGTATCTTGCTAATGGATTTCCCAGTGGTCCTTTTTCCTACATACGACGCCCCAAAGTACAGATACGGATATCAGATCCTGATCCTTTTCGGTGGACTAGCAATCATTAGTGTGACACTCATGAAGTACATGTACTGGCGCAAAGAGTAAGACTTCTTCACGAAACTTTTATTTTATCTGACTGTGGCCATAGGAAGAAGCAAGATGGCGAAGAAGAACCCCAAGACCCAGCGAGTGGCGATAAGAGCATCGACAGCAAGGGTGTCTAAGTTGAGGATATTAATGCGAATTGGAACACTACATCTTCTTTGCGGAGGGAGATGGATGATATTAAGATTGCCCTTGTCCGCAATTAAATTAGGACCTAAATCTTCACAGATAGTAATCACAGCTTCCACTGTCCGCAGTGGCTAGAAGTCTGGTCGCAATAATGTTTGCTCACGCAGAACGGCACGATACTACTACATTCTCACTATTGGGCTGCATGTAGTCACATCAAAGATTCAAAAAACTTTCAGAAGTAAAAAATGCTGTCTCCGGAGTTTTGGTTTAGATCTCCGAGCTCGTCTATGGCTAGCTGGAAAAACATGTATTTTAGTCTGGACGGGCGGCGAATGCGTGTGGAAACGCCAGTGAGAACTTCGATACTGTTAAGAAACCTTCGATTGCGTGATTTGTATTGCAAAGCAAAACTGGCGCATCTCTCCACTCTTAACACGCGATGGTGATGTGCGGCTACCGCTGCCTACGCTTCTGGTATCGCCAGTTGCCGACAACATCTTCTCCCAAGCTTAAGCTTAGCCGACAGGCATTCTCCAGCGATATCGGTGTATTATCAGTCCTATTCCGATTCGGGCGCGATATACGCAATTCGAATGCCAGCGGTGTCGAACATGAGATTATCGCACACTTGCGCCGCCGAATGGCAAAGTTCTGTCCAACACCGGAAACGCGAACATGTGCACCGAGGTGTCAAAGTCTAAGGAGCAATTACAGAACATAGCGGTGGGTTTTGGCAGCTCTCCGCTACTCGTTCACCCGGATGGAACCACCATCGACCTAGAAACCGGATACATTCCTCTACTGGTGAATTTTACTCACGAAGACAAGGCCGCAAAAGGACTCAGAAAACGATCAGCCGACGACGAAGCAAAACCACCGGTTTACTATTCCGCTCTCGAGGTTGTGCGAGATCACAAAGTCTTGCTACTGAGCGGCGTTTCTGGAAGTGGGAAGACGACGTTTGCGAAACACTTATGTTTTGGTCTGGCGACAGGACGGTTCAAACAGGCGCAGCTGCTCGCAAGAAATGATGTTGGGGCTGTGTATGAGGAGGTGTGGGATGCCACGAACGTCGTTCCTTGTTATGTGGAGGTGAAGTCGCTCGACCAATTGAGAGATGCTGTAGATTTCTTAGTTCCTAATATTATGAAGCTTTTGATGTTGGGGAAAAAGGAGGAAGTATCAGGTTTGGTTGTCATGCTCGACACCAAGTTTCATCCTCCAGGGAAAGAAGTCTCTGAATTGTTGACTTGCTTGGTCGATCGCATTACGGAGGCGGAACACGCTAGAATCGTCATATTGGGCGACAAAAAAGCTAGCCAGTCGTGGAGACTTCCTTCTCACGTCGCAAGATTCGATGTTTTGCCTCTGCTAGAGGTGCAGCGACGACAGGCAGTGAGCCATCTGCGTGGACTAGAAGAGCGCCAGGTCAGGATTGCAAGTGGGAGAGCTGCAAAATTACCGGCCATATTTGCTCTGTCGGTTGAAGCGGAGGTTGATGGGTACGAAACGGAAGATATACTGCATTTGTGGCTATCGAAACACGCTCCTCGAAAGGAAGAGGCGAGCATGTTGGCGGAGAAAGCGTTCAATCACTTTCGGCGTGGCTCTCCATCGACTGCATCAGGTGACTTACCATTCCTGGCTCGCTCGAAAGCAGTGCAACAACTCCTGGCCGCCCGAAATTTGGCTCAAGGCTCCCCAGAGACGGCGATCAGTTTATACCGCGAAAGTCCGCAGATATGGGGGCAGGTCATACTCAACCTTTTGGTACACCTTGGGCCGTGCCCACAAGGCGAGACTATCATCAATGGTCTCATCAAAGAATCGACACTTATCTCTCAGGCTGGCGCTTTGCTTGTGGCGAACACGGGAGTATCAGTGTCGGCAGACATCCAAGCCCGAGTCAAAAATATCATGCTTGACATCATCCAACAGGCTGAACTATCATCTGCAGAAAGAAGAGACGCAGGCCGTGTATTATCACGGCTCGAAGATCCACGCGACTTGGAAGAACTGGCCGAAGTCGAAGCAATGACTTTGACCTTTGGTTCTGACTCTCATCCCAATAGCCGGCCAATCGGGCTGGTGGGTCTAGAAAACTATCGCATCGGACTATATCCAGATCGTGCAATCGGGATTACCTGAGATTTGTCGAAGAGACTGGCCG